AACAAAGCTTAAATAAAACGACCAAAAAAAAAACTGAAATCATTATGTCAACAACCATTAAGGTTTCAAAAAACCTATGCAACAAGAAAATCAACGCGGCAAACGGGAAACAAGAATGTCAATTAATTTGTATCTTATCAAGGAGCCACTTTACACCCACACATTTAGTTAAAAGATCTATACCCAGACAACCTACAAAAACTCATGGCAAACTTGAGCATTAAGAAAGCGTTAAAAGCATTTTAGTCCAAAAATCAGACTTCAAAAGAAGCCAGATGAGAACAAAGACATCCAAGGAATGAAGAGAAAATCAAAACAAAAGAAAATCATAAATCTTTTAGAAGTTGCGAGAGCAAACAACTGCAGTAAAAGTCAAGAAACTTACACCGTGAATTTCGGGTTCCGAGTGTTTAAGAACAACCAGAAAAACATAACTTGTGATATAATAGAAACAAAACGTTTGAATAAGTTAGATGAACAAATACTAAAAGGTAAGACAAGTTTATTTATAACAAGCGCAGTTCCTTCTCTTATTGAGGTAATTTTCTTCGGCTTTTTTTACTGCTTCAGGAATCAGTGAATCTGTTCTTGAATCAAATTCTCCATGCAGCTTAGGGCAATGAATCTTACCGTTTGCAATGTCGTTCATCTGAAAAGAAAAATAATAATCTAGAGATGAATCAAGAACTACCAAGTGCATCAGGGCAAAATCCACTTATTATCAAAAAAATCTCATTACTCACTACTTTCAACATGTCATAAACTATCGTGTCGCTGACGTACGAATCAAATTTATAATCTTCATGATCCCGAATAAATTCTCTCATCCACGACGCCAATGTTAGTATTTTCCCTGACGCTCTCTTCTGCAAGAGACATTTCAATATGCTCCTTCAAATGAAATTCGAGGAAGAGTCATGCGCTCACTACTTCAAAATAGGTGGTGAACGAAACTTCACAATAAAACCTAGAAGAAAGAGTACCTGAAGAAAGGTAAGGTACTGAGTGATGGTACAACGGGTATCCACGTCGACATCAGCGCTGTCTAAATACTGATGGATAAGAGGTACCAAACCAGGAAACTCGTCATCTTTTCCTAAAATTGCTAACATTATAATACGTTGAATCCGCACACAAGAAAAAATTATGTCACTAGCCTTACCATTTATAATTTCATTCACTGTCATTTCAATAATCTCCTCTTTATTGGCAAGTGGAAATGGTTTACCATAACAATCTGTACATCTCGCAAGACCTTTACGAAAATATAACTTCTGCTCCAGAACAGCATTACGACGTTGAGCTCTTTTCATATTCTCCGTAACTAATGATATTGGCAACAAAAACACCAGATCAAACGATCTAATTACCCTTAAAACAGAGATTTCCGAAATCATATAGTATGCTTATCAAAATAGTTCCTGAGAAAATATAGAACCTCGTAAGCAAAACAATAAAAGCACAGTATGCGGCATTTTCAAAGTCTGTTAACTGCACTTCTGTAGGTCTAAACTCTACTCTCCAGCCAATGTTTGGAGCATCTGGAGGTGGAGGTTTGAATCTCATATTCATCCAATTAGAGCTTTGAATGGTTTCAAAGTGTTCCGTAGTTGTTTTCTCGTCCTGTTCAATTCTTTCTTTGAAGACCTGCAAGCAAAAGAAGCTGGAAGGAATCGAAACTAAAAAAATTCTTAAATGCAAAACCATAACTGCTCGACAAAACATTGAAAAAATACACTAAAAAGTTCTGATGACTACTTTTTACTTAAAAACTACTTGAAATATTTGCCATCAGGTCTAAAAGACTTCACGCAACGAAATCTCTCTAGAAAAATCATTATTTGAATTAAGGCACATGCTATCTTTCACCGACTACACTCGATATCTCCAAAAAGCTCCTGAACATGCAATGCTTCATCCATTTTCGCCAACCTCAGCTCTATCGTAGTTAATAAAATGTCCTTCATGCACTATTTAGTACCTCCCTTGGTTTATATCAAACTACTTAACGAATTATGTCTATCACGGTAACAGCCTTGCCACTTCACCCGGCGTGTAAGTAAATAAAAAACCTATAATTTTTCAATACTAAGTCTACCTGTAGCGGATCTCGAATAAACATGTGAGCTATATGTTTTCCTAAGTCTTCATCAATACCTCCATCACGAAGCTTTTTGTAATGATTTGCATCATACTGCAGAGGAATGTCGTTGTAACTGAAAAATAAGAAGTATTATTTAATATCTGAATGAGGAAAACTAGCGGAGTGCGAAATGAAATAATAAAGAACTACAACTAAAGATATTATTTGAGCAGAACAGAAGAATGATGCTTACAGAGAAGAATGCGGAAAAATATAGCAGTCCGTTGAATCGTAGCGACTTTTTTCAATAACAAACTTGTTATTTTTCAGTGGAACTAATCCCCTTTCCTCAGCTGTTCTATCGTCCACGCTCTAAGTGTAAAAGAACTCAGTACCAGAAAGTTAATCAAAAATTGATATTAGAGAACTAAAACAAAATCAACTTCGATAAGGAAAGAAAACGAAAGCAAAAAAAAAAAGTAGAAGCAAGTGAATACAGCAGAAATGATGCCCCATCTGCAATCTACGTCAGCTAATCGGGAGCGAAAAACTGGAGTAGCTGCTGAAAGAGCAAGCACGACTGGAGTTATAGGAGTCAACTGATCATACAACCAACGAGCTTCATCAACATTGGTTGCCTATAAAAACAATAAATCTGTTCCTACTGCAATTCCAAACGGTAAAAATACATCCTTGCGCCCATCACCGGTCTTCTGTGTCCATCATCACTAAAGCTCGCTTATGAAAAAACTTGCCACCTGGTACCATTTCTTACTTAACTTGTTTCGGCATAATTTTACAAATGGTCATCAAATATGTGGTCAGAAAAAAATAGTTCAAATTGATCAGACTACCTCAAAGCAGCGTACGAAGACCGCAACTCGATATTAAAAAGAAAGATTACAGGTAAGATATGGCCAAAAATAGGTAAAACCTGAAATGTGACTTGAAGACAACAGCAACCCATACCAAAACCCATATGATCCAAGTAAATGTGATCAGGTTTAGCAGCTCTCATTGCTTCTCCACCATCTTTCATTTTACTAAAGTCCTCCTAAGGAAATAAAAAATGAATTGTACAAAAGGAAAAGAAGAGTAATGAAAACCTTTTACAAAAAATTTACAATGTAAGGAGAAGGAGTATTTTTATCGTGAAATATTGGGACGTTTATTGCAACCTTCTCGCCTCTTCTTCCACGAATGTTCCTCACCAGATTTCGAAATCTAGAAGGAAAATTTAGTAATCAGGGGGAGAAGCTGAACACTGATTTGATGAAGAAAAGTTTCAAAATAAGCAGAAGGAAATTAGTTTTTAACCTCGGATGGCCAGAATAAATTCCTTCGTCAGGAAAAAATATAGACCGCCCAGCGCCGCTTTCGTCTTCAGGATGAGGGTCAGCAGGAGGATACAAAAAACCTGGTGTACCCAGTGCGGGAAAAGAGATAGACATTACTGATTCATCAGGGCCCAAAAGACTTCCAGCTTCGCATCTCCGCAAAATCATACTACTTTCAACAACATTAAAGCAAGCTAGCCAACCTAAACAGGTAAAAAACATATTTCACATCCAGATTTCCATTTTCTTTTGAGAACAGAATGTATTGTTACTGCAGAAATGTTGCAAACGATAAAGCAATGATTGCAACCTCCATACGGTACTCCTGGTGTCCCTTCAATCATGTACGAGGCAAACTCAGGTCTCCATAAACAACGATTTTCCGTGCCAAGCAAATCATTTTGCCGTTCTTCTGCGTTGAGAGCCTCTAGAATCTCTTTTGCTCTTCTGGAAACATGGACCTACAATAGGACACAGAACTCAATGAATAACTCGAGAATATTACTTACTAAGCCATTCAGGCAGGAAAAAAAACAATAAAAGAAAAATCATCTTTAGATTTCAGGTGAAGAACACTGAACACACTATACTTTACTGAACCTTCTTTGCTTCGTGATCGAACTTCACAATAGTATACTCAATCTCATCACCCCATCTAAGCTTATCAGAATCTCGAGCTTTCAGGCGATGATATAAGTAGATAAACTGATCGAGACCTTTGTCCTAAAAAACTGACAATTGTTTACCGTACAATACGCCAGTAGTGATATCCACAAAAAACACCAGCCGAGTCACATTCTAAATGCAGCTCACAAACCTTGATTTTTTCAACATGAGGGACTGTTTCTCTCCACGACAGTGGTGTCCCCTCCGTCAGCAGACCCATAGGTCGAACAGCCTTTAACGTTAAATTAATCCAAGGCGAAAAAAAACTCGTCTCAAATAAGTTTCAAAATACGATTGAAAACGGTTAACAAATCGGAAGTAACTCTCGTAACAAAATTAGCTAATGTACAACCGTTTCTTCAACCATTTAACTAAAAAAAGCATAATTAATGCCCGTGAACGAACAAAATGAGTGTTCCATTGAATGAGAATGTACAATGACAGTTTATTGAATAAAAAAAAACCAACAACAAAAAAAAACGGAACTCCGACATCAACAAAACTTGTATTACCTATCTCTATCTAAACCCTAATGTGGCACATGGAATGAATAATCAATATCGATATTCTCCTGCCAAAAAAACAAGGAAAAAAACGAAGCAGAAAGGAATCCCAGATATCTAAAACAAAGCAAGATAGAAGAATAAAAAAGCATATTAAAAAAGTACCATACATATATATATATATATATAGAAATAACCATCGATCATAGGCAATAATTTTAAAGCTCCTTAAAATACGACGAAAAAACAAAGCTCAAACATTTAGAACATTCAATTCAAAGACAAACAGGTGTTCTAAAAAGACCTCAAAAAACTACCATCTTATCAAACATCTCTCAGGCACTAGGTCAGCAAAATAATCTCCAAAAAACTACCGTGTTCCAAAGATACATACAAAGTAAAAAAACATGTGTAAGAAAGAAAGACAGATGCAAAAACGGTACTTTTACCAAAGAACATCACCCGCGAACGGCACTGAACAAACAGCAAACAACTTAATACTGTATTCACAAAAACAAAATTAAAAAAGCAAAAAAAAGAATCATAAAAAAGTGCATATTAATATGACCTAGCGTAGATTTAGCTTTAAGTTTTGAACTCTATATAAAAAATACCAATAAACTAGTATAAACAGTAGAACAAAACACCGTACCAACTTGAAACCAACTGTGAAAACTTCTCTCAAATCGGGTGTGAAAAAATTGAAAAGCAAGCGAGTCTCCATGTATACAAAAAGCTGATAATACTAATGAATAAAAGTGAAGACTGTACTTTATAAATATCAATTAAATTTCGTAAGAAACACATATTCTAAAAACCTAAAGATACAAAACTTTAATTTCACGGCAGTGATAGGAAAACATGATACTAATGTTATTAACTTGGCTTTCACAGATACTGCAGCATTTTTAAAGCAAAAAGTTTAACTTCGTGTACAAAGTTAGGCTAAAACAGGTCATCAGCACGATGATGTTCCTACGGGTTGATAATCTACACCAGAAACCAGCATAATTACAAAAAACAACCGTTTGGTCACAGTTTTAAAATTACAGTCAGACAGAAAAAGCATTGTAATCTTTCCCTCTGCTTGAACATACTTGAAACAAACCAAAAAATTACAATATGGTATTAAAAACAGTAATTTTCTATGAAATACTTGATAATACTAAAAAATCCTTCATACACCAATTATAAACTTTGTATCTATTAATAAAATAATCTGTTACCATAATTTCTTTAAAAAGTTTAGCCTGCACCGTACAACCTGCTAAAATAACTTAATTTAGATCAATCCGACATGCCACAACATCTTATCCGAACTGTGGATATAGTTGCATAGATTCGCTGCCAATTCAAGTTCTAGTTTTTCTGAAGCTTACTGTTAAAACACGTTAGAATCAACTTTAGTGGCAACATGCTCAACTTACAGCAAACCAATCAAGTTTTAAAACTTAAAAGAGCAGGTCAAACAAATGTTACGATGCAGTTCAAGCACACCAAAAATTTTTCCTCTTATCCCCTTAATTTTTCCCCTACTTCCTTCCATCCTTTTTTACATATCCAAACTACAAAACATTTTATATGATTGATAGAGAAAATAATATGAAGACGGAAGACAAAATCAACTAAATATTTTAACAAGAACCCTAAAAAATAAAAAAAGCAAACCTCAAATTTTTACCGTATCAAAAATCCTCGCTCAAAAAATTTTACTTGAACCAGACCAATATATAATTCCGAGTAAAACACTACCCACGGCTACGCAATAAATTTCCATACAAGAAACTCCCAGGGATGGATCAAGGATACCCCAGAGATGAAAAATAAATCAAAAATCAGTTTCAAATCAGGTATAAAAGAAAGTTCCAGCCTCAAAAACAGAGTTTTTAATATATCTGATCTTAACCGAAGGTGAATTATACCATTAAGTGCTGAATATAAAAGCTTTTCAAAAAGATGTCTATAAGTTTGATTGATGTCCGAAATTTACGCTCTTCAACTTCCTGCTCGTCAAGCAGAAAAAGAAAGGAATAAGAAAGATGATCCAAGTAACTTTTCACTAAACACCCAAAGTTTAGATTTTCAAATGAAAGACCGCTCCAAAATTTTAAGTTTAAATGTTCAATCCCGCAATTCTTTGCAAAATGTTACAATAGAACTTTACATATTAAAATTTAAGAAGCTGATCCATAGCTCGCTGAAAATAAAAAAAACTTTAAAAAATGGTCCTAATATGAAGAAGAGGGAAAAACAATAAGACCAAAAGTAACAAAGATAGATTAACGCAACTGGATGTGTTATCGTCCTAATCTCCTGTCACGTTTATAATACGAATCAAAGAATGAAATGAACTGCTTGAAAGAAACATGTTTTGACAAGTGAGGAACTGGAACTATTTCAGTTACTCGAAGAGCCCATGGCAGATAACCAGCCATTGAATTTGTAGCACCAACTTTGAGCAGCAAATCAGGTTCTGTCAACGAATCTTTTGCTAAACACTGAGATATGGCCTTTATATTAATAGCATCTATATCATAATCTGAGCACACCTAAAAAATAAAAATAAAAATAAATATGTATTTCATAAGGTTAAGCTCACCTAAAGCGTTGCGCCAACAAGCCTTAGACAAAACTGTAGAACAGTAATTATTGAAACGAGAGTACTAAAGTGTAAAATATCAACTTTTAAAAGTGGGATCCTCATAAGCTATGAAAACAGAGATTTTTTGAGAATTAATAAAGTAATGATAACAACCGAAAAGTTCCGAACCACAGAAGAGGCTCCTATTTATTCCTCGCATCACAACAAGTAAAAAAAGTAATTTCAGCAAAGTGAAATAAAAAGGTAGATTGCCTTCACAAAACAGATACTATTCAAAATATGTTAGACTGTGGTGTAGAAACAAAACACCAATGAGCATCGATCAAAACAAGTAATACGTTTTATTACGTTTCTGCTGTTAAAAAGAAATGCAGCATGCTCAGTGACACACTACACAAGGAAGCTAAAAAGACTTTGTTGAAACCTCAACCTCATTTTACTACAGAATTTAACCAACTATTTTTACTATTCGTTACAAAAAAAATAAGAAAATCAATCCTGCAAAATTTAAAATTAACAAAAAAAACTGACTTTCCGACAAGTCCTAACCAATGCTTGTTTCCCCGACTCTTTACCTAGCAGATAAACAGCAATAACACCACCGTAATATTTAATATCTTCCAATGGCTTATTGATATTGACTTCAATACGACTTTTTGAGTGTTTAGTCGTAGACGCTTTCGCTATTAGTTTTTCCAGTACTACCCTGTTCGACCTTACATACGACCACGGATCATATACACTAAGTTGCTTTATACCAGCAGACGCACTACGCACAACAAGTTCGGCTAGAGCCTTCTGAAAGTAAAAGAGGAATGTAAAGTAAACAAGAGTAGAGCATATCAACAAAAGTGGTTACATGTAAAAGAAATCAAAAAATGGAACAAAACATTGTAAAGGAAAACAAAAAGTTTTCTTTTGAACTACAAGTAATGACGGCAAATTTTGCGAAAAATGATACTCAATATTCACACTGTAATTCTTTGTAAAAATGCTGATTACTTAAGTTTAAAAAAATGAGGCACGGCGTGGAATGAAGAGGCTAAATATGAAGCCACTTTGAGTTTAACAATCAGTATTCCCTAAGTAAACACTAATTTACCATCAATGTTTATAAAAAGCTGAGTAAGCTTTAGAATGTAGTTGCCTAATTAACAAAACCCTTTCCCCTTGAAATCTAAAGCACTTATAAAGACCTTTAAAAAACAGTATTTGTACTCACTGTTAACGTCTTTGCAAGACATAAACAGAAATATCTTTATGTGACTAACTCAGAAAATGTCAGACAATATTTCACAACACAAACCTGCTGGTAACCCAACAAATAGTGCAAGAAAGAACATTCACACGTTCAAACACCATTTTCTCCTAATAACGCAAGAATTTTCTCATTAAACTGGCTGTTCTGCAGAGTAAAATAGGAACCAAAGCAAAAAATTTAAAAAATTGCAAAGTTTACATAAGGTTAAATCATACGGAAATCGCAATGTGCCAAAAATATTAAACCAGCTGTTTAGCCAAATACCAAAAGAAACCACCGAAGAATCTTATGCGTTTGAATATCACTGCCAACATCCATCAGTTTTTGCACAATAAAACTTTTCTGAACATCGCAAAGATGACATAAATGAAAACAGCGAAGAATCATGGAAAAGTCACTGCAGGATATGGAAAGGATCAGTATTTTTGCTCAAAAGTTAAGCTTATTCTATTGGCAAAGAAAGAAACAACTCTTTCCGCAAAAATAAAGTCTATTTTGTAACCTTTATGAACAACGGCTAAGGCATCTAAGCTTTCAAATATATAGAAACACTTAAATAATAAGTCGCCCCCTTCCAACCTGCAGTACAAGAGAATTGAAGAATTATAAATAGGTAAAGAATTGTTAAAAGTTGCTATAGCCTCTGTAAGGTCATAACAGTAAAGATCCCACTCTCCTCCTCGATCCCACTCTTCCTGAATTAAAACGAAAAAGCAGAAACTGTCAAAGAAATCTTTCTATTCTTTTTGTAAGATCCTCTGGCACCAAAACTCTTTCAAAATTTTTAAGCCACAAAATAAATCTTAAAAACTCGTCTACAAACACATAAAGTTCCCAGCAAAACCTATTTTTTATAACAGTCTCTTATTTGAGAAAGGACTATGACTTCCGTTTTACGAACTTTTAATCAGCTTGAGTCTGACAGTTTCAGTTTTGTCAAACAGTTAACTATCAAAATAATTTGACGAGCAAGAAAGGTGCCAAAGTTCTAGGATGTAATTTTTGGCTAAAACTGTAATCTAAAGCTAGATATTGGATTATTAAACAAAAATTCCAAAATTCACAGGGCTCTTTCAAATGACTCAATGAAACCAAACTGCCTAAAGCAAAATAAAAGCTAAGAACAGTCCCGTAAAAAATTACGAAAGCACGATCTTCAAGAAATGTAACCAGTGCACCATCATCAAAGCCATAGGAAATAAAAAAAAGCAACAAATAAATAAAAGTTATAAAGAATAGTGATTTTAACGAGTATTTTTGAAAAAATGCTAAAGAAAGAAATCAGTGGAAAAAAAGTAAGGAATTTAGTTTGTTCTTATCGACAATCTGGTTTACGCTGTGTTAAAATTTACAGGAAAAGAAAAATGATTCAATAACAACAACAACAACGAAGAAAAAAAAAAAAAA